CAAAGACCACACCATCTTGGTCTTCATACTTACATTATTTATTTTTCATTTTAAGTAGGTTATCGAGACTACCAGTCAATCAGATATATCAGCGTATGAACACATCTCACATACCTTTAATATGTTTAGAAATGATCAGATTATTAGGTAAGATCTACTGATGATTATTAAATATGCTCAACCTGGATTATAGTGGTAGATAAAAAAGTCCAAACGTCAATGTGAATTTGATGTGCCTGCGTTGCTTTAAATATCTTATCTGCTAGTGGCCTCAATCTCTCTAGATTGTATGATTTTCACAAGAGACTCGTTCTTACTTCATACTTGTATAGACATATAATTACTATTTTGAAATACAATCATTAGTTTTGTCACGTCACGTTCATAGCCATCACACAACTCATCTAACAAAAAAAAGACGTGTGAATATCACACTCAAACTTTGTGTCAGCATGATCATACCTCTCTAGGTTTTCATATATTAACTTTTTAACCATTTACATGTCAGCAAAAGTGTTTGGTGAAGGTCGATTCCACCAAAAGACGACGGCGGATTCCTCTTGGCCTTATTGGAACATTCATGCTGACGCTATTTCCTAAATAATCTCCTTCGATTCCAGTGAAAAGGTGCTAAGCTTTCGTCCGTCATATGACATACATTATCAAAGTTAGGTATCATCGTCACAATTAAATTCAAACTAACGAGTCAAAAAACCCATCGGCAAATCCCAAAAAGTGGTATATATACTCTACAACTGGCCTCTTTGGTAAGGTATAAAGTGATTTTGTTATTTACGGTCATATGTCAACTTCGAAATCTGTTAGTATGTCTGTCTCTGTATGTGCATATGCCTGTTTGTGTTCGCTTATGCACGAAACCCGCAGTAATGGCTCAAAGTAATGAGGACAGCAAAAGTAACGTCTATTTTCGGACATCAAGGTTTGATGACCACTATCTCCCTTTTTATACATATATGTTAAAACCATCACTCCGATTGCGCAAAGTCAAACACTCGTCTGGTTTTGTTGATAAGCCTGTTTTTTGTTTTTGGCCTCAATGAGAGAGAGAAAAAATGAGCTAAAAGTACAGAGAAGTGACTATGATTAGAACTGAGACAAGAAAAGTCTAATTGCGTCGCCTCCCTTTTGAATGCGACTCAACTCCCTCTCTATCCTTCAGTCTATTGATCAAGCACAAATAATTTTTACTTATCTTCTTGCCGGTATTCCCTACATTCAATGTATTTCCTATTCAGTTTATTTATATGGCTGCTGTAATTTTTCGTTTAGCAACAAACATACCATAATCAGCAAAACGACACGTTTGAGACCATTCAATCTCGTGTCCCGTTTCTGCCCTGTGCTTAGCCAGCTCCGATTTTGAACCTAAAAGCCTTTGCAGGCGCTTTTGTGCTCAGCCACCCTTTGCCGAATGGGACGACAAGTCTCTCCAACATAAAAGCAACCACATGAACACATTATTTTGTAGCAACCCTATCTGGATAATGGGTCAACTTTCTCTCAAAAAGTGGGCATAACTGAAGAAAGTGTCGTAGTTTTCCTAAAGAACGTTTTTATTCCCCACTTCCTTACTTGCTTACATATCCTTTTAGAGAAAATGCACGAAGGTAAAGACAAAACATGAGAAAAGGTCTCCTTATCTCTTCTTACGTATTCACCATTCAAAAAGCTATTCTTTATTAATCTAATTTTATTTTCAATCAAGCCAAGGGGATAGTTATCCTCAAGGAAAATTATTTTAAGCCGATTCAGTTCATTGTCACAATGGTCTAAATCGGCTAGTCTTATGTTCCGAATAATCATAGATTTTAAAACTCCAACCTTTGTTTTATAACTATGATTGGAGAATAAGTTAAATATAAAGCCAGCATGCGTTGGCTTACTATAAACATTCCTGCTTAATTTCTCACCTGCTCTGATCACGAAAACATCTAAAAGGGGTAAATTATTTTCAATTTCCATCTCCATTGTCAACTTAACATTGCAATCAATATTGTTAATTAAAATCAAGAAATTACCTAAACTATTCTTGCTATTGTGTCATATGGCAAGTATTCATCCATCTATTAACGGTTTGGGCGTTAATCTTACCTCTTCCACGAAGTGTTCCTTCATTCTTGACGTGTAATTATTGGCTAAAATGGGAGCCAAGCAAGCTCCCATTGCTAGACATTGCACCTGTTCATAAACCTTATAATTAAAGGTTAAGTATGTGCTACTCATGGATAGATCAAGAAGCCTTAAATTGAGGTTTTTGCTCAGATTTGCTTCCTTAATAAGTTATGGGTGCTCATCTAGGCTGAGTTTTAGGGCTTCAATAGCCCTATGAACTTGGATGTTAGTATACATTGATGCGACATCGAAATTAACCAAGAGATCTTCCTCCTCACTACTATGATGATCTATCAATCTAACAAATTCTTATGTAGAAAGGGGGAGATAGTGGTCATTAAACCCTGTCCTCATTACTTTGAGCCATCATTGCGGGTTTCGCACATAAGTGAACACAAACAGGCACATACACATACATAGACAAAGACACTCAAAAGCTTCGAAGTTGACATATGACCGTAAATAACCAAATCACTCTATACCTGATCAAAGAAGTCAGATATAGAGTATATTTATTGCTTTTTAGGGATTTGCCGGTCAGTTTTCTTGACACATTAGCGTGAATTTGGTTGTGATGATGATAACTTGCTCTGATGATGTTCGTCATATGACGGACGAAAGCTTAGCACCTTTTCACCGGAATCAAAGGAGATTACCTAGGAAACATCTTCAGCATTAACGTTCCAGTAAAGCCAATCGACAGCTGATCAAGAAGAATCAGCCTTTGTCTTCTAGTCGAATCTACCTTCGAATCTCTTCACCAAACACTTTTACTCGAAATAGAAATAAGCACAGCAATCATGAAACAAGAGATTCCTCAAAACCCAACTTTTATTCTCCTTTATTACATGCTAGCATTCAAATCATGTAAGCGTTTTAAATAGTAAAAACTCTGAACTTATGAGTTACTCCCGAAGCCTACCTGTTTTGAGGCGATCAGCCTTGTGCGCCGCTATTGCGCTACAATTTTGTGCCTTATTGACATGCCTATTACCTAGATCTCTTACATCAACGGCTTACTTAAAGCTTTCTCGAGAAGAATCCCGATGATTGTTTTATCTATGACTTTTCGTCATAGCCGACTTAAATAAATGCGATCTGTCAATATTGAGCCCTCGTGGCGTGCTATTTATTGGCGTCTTTACTTTGGCAATGCAACTCAAGCAATGCTGCCTTTGGTTGCATCATTCCGGCTCCCTCGTCTCCTATTTTCGTCCTGCTCACTCATTATTAATAAATATATAACCAACTAGCTTTGTGTAACTAAGCTTTATGCAACCTCAGCGCCACCTCTATTCGTTTATCCTTCCAATGGATCTCAGAACACACTACGAGCTATAACTCTTTTTAAATGGCCTTGTACCATAATATACCTATCATTAATGAAAAAAATAATACACTGTTTAATAATGTATTATAGCATGCTTGTATTTTTAGATTTAGCATGTCGGGCGTCATATTAGTTGCAAGTAAAGCTACTTCCAATTTTAGATAGAACTGATCGCCATTCAGTTAAACTATTATCAAATGGCCAGAACTTATTCCAATTTACAATGAGCAATAGCCTAAAATCACAACACTTCGATTTTTACCACAGTGTAAAAATGTAATTCATCTAACTGTTTTTTTCATTAACTTTATATAAATAGTCATTTTTGAATTTACCCACCTCTGGTACAAGATCTGGCACAGTTTTGTCAAGTTCATCTGCTGAAATGGTGTTCGTTGTAGCAGCTGACATTCCTAGCCTTCCAGTATCATCATTCTCGAAAGGAATAGGAGTGAACAATGATAATTCTTGACGTTGTACAACTGGCTTAAGAACATAGCCACATGCACCATTTCTGGCAAAGAAACCAGTGGCCAGGTCAAGAAAAAGACCGGGAGTTTGATAATTAAGAGGCGCTAACTGTCCACCTGTTGTCCAAATCTCAAGGGGGTTCATATTGGAACTGTCCGTCCTCCCAGAGCTGGGATGTACTCGAAGTAGGCAGTGCCGTGTTTTCTGTACCAACTCTGCTGCGCCTG